CTCCAGAGGACTCACTGTGACCGGCCTGCCATTCTGTCAGTCTCCCTGCACCTTTGGGGGTGATTGTCTACAAGAAACCTCTCTGAAAATAAATTACATTTAAAATTAGTGGTCCAAGATAACTTCAATAGTAACAAAGCGAAATGGCAGTATTGACATAATTAAAATGATAACAAACACAAAAGGAAGTAGACTGAATAATAAAGACCAAAGAATGTAAAGGAAATAATTGAAATGCACAGCATCGTCACAGTTTAAACCCGCAAGCCAGAAATACTCAGGGAGGAGATGTCAAGTGAGGAATGATGACAGTGTTGTGGCACTGACTCTCAGCTCCTTCTGGAGACCTCCAAATCCAAACTGCTCTCAGAAGTGACCCCGACTGCTGATGGGAGGAACTGCAAAGTCACGTTGCTAAGAGGCATGCACACCAGGCCAGGAGGGATTTATGGCCGTGTTTTGCAATCTACTACTCCATCCGTTTCCCATTGATTTTCAATGCTGCTCTCTTTTTTTTTTTTTCCTCATTAACTTTATTTTAATGAGTCTAAAAATTCTGCAACAGATTTTTGGTCAAGATGTTTCCATTAAAAAGTACTCATTTAAAAAACTAATAACTTAAAATTGCCACACATGTGCATACACACACACACACACACACACACACACACACACACACACACACGGGCTACAAAACATTTTCCCTTCCTTCTGGAAGTTTTATGATGCATTATTATCATTAATCAGTCTTTTCTATTAAACTTAAATGGCCAATTGAGACAAACAGTTCTAAGACCATTCTTTTACCACTAATTAACACTTTATGTTGTATTGCATTCCAAGTCTTTCATGATTTCCCATACACCTCCCCTTCCCAGGCTTATGGGATTTTTAAAAACCTGTCCTCTTATTTTCGAGGTCTAATTTTATTGCTTGCCGGTCAGAGAACATGGAATGTATGATGCTGTTTTTTGAGAATTTATTGGGGCCTCCTTTGTGGCCTAGAATGTAGTTAATTTTTATGACTGTTCCATGTTATTTAAAAAGAACATGAGTCCTGTTTGTGGGTATAAAGTTCTCTTGTAGTCTATTAATTTGAATACATTGTTATTCAAATTTCCTGTATTTTCTCATATTTCTATCTAATAATTAAAATATTAGACCAGTCCTTACAGACAGCTTTGAAATTCATCATTGATATTTTACATCAGGTATGGATTTTGCTATATTTTGCTGTTCAAAGAACAGGGCCATAACTCAATAACCTAGTATTTTTGAGTGGTCCGGTTTGAGACCTTGGTCATCAACATAATATTTATTTATTGACAGTATGGCTCTTTGTGGGATTGTCCTAACGGGATCAATGCATGCTTCCCGAATGGATTTGACAGTGTATGTGTAAACATTGAAGCAATTATAAAATGTAACACATGGTTTAATGGCTGGAATTTACTGGCAGATTCATGCACGATGTTCAGAAGCTCTTCTCTTGGTCCATGACCTGCCTCTTTGTCCACTCCATGCCATCTCCACCCCCTATTCAATGCCACAGTGACTAAAACACTACTACATACCAGAAATTCAATTGGGGGATTCTGGTATCCAAACGTCCTTTTTAGAAGTATAAAAATATTCATGGATTGAATATTGCTATTATACTCCAATACTTTACATTGAATTTACCAAATTTGTTTATTTCCTGATGGCTAGCTAAAAACGCTTTGGTAAGGAAACAGATTGTAGAGGAAGAGCGAGGAAGAAGGCGGACTTGGCATAGGGAGGGAGGCAGAAAAAGGAAAAATTCTGGAGGAGAAATTTTCCAGGGAGCTGACTTCAGGAAAGGCTGCAGCAGTTAGGGCTTTTGAAAGATGGGGGCAGCAAGAAGGCGCTATGTCTATGTGTGAGGGGAGGTGGGTGAGCAGAGAGTGGGAAAATTTAAGAGACAAACTTCATCTACGTTACGATTTTTATCAAGACTGGCCTCACACTTGTGGCTATTTTATTCCATATTGGACAAGAGGGAAACAATTCTTCAATTTTGCATCAAAGAAAAAAAGGCAGATGCTTCTGTTTTCCTCTCTGCTTTACTATCATTTCAGTAAGAAGCCCATAATGATCTAACCTAGATCATACTAATGTGATGTGTCTAACCCTCAAGTAATTTATTTGATCATTATCATAGGGCCTGTAACATGTCATATCATCTCGGGTTCTTGGTTAAGCTCTTTATTGCTATTGAACTTAACAGGTATGTCATATTCTCAGTGATACTATAAGTCCCTTGCGGGTAGGTATACTGTGTTATACCCTTTTAAATGTATGGCTGGTTGTATAATGCAATGCACATAACAAATATTGTGGTGTTTTGTTGAATTGAGGAGAAGCTACAGGTTTGCTTATCTTTTTTAGCCTATAGACACTGTCACTGGAGTTCATGTGACTGTCTTTGAAAGAATGCTTCACTCTTCCTACTGTTAAACAGATAACGGAACTATCTTGATCTTAGTAAATGCTACACTAAAATATTCATCACTAAAGAGATTAAAAGTTGTACAGAATAGAGAAAGGAATTCCATATCTCTCCTCTCTATAAAGTGATTGCATTAATGAGCTTTTACGCAGATGAAATAATGCAGGGTAAACTGTCAAGATAATGTCATCTTATGTATAGCAATGTTTACACTTCTCATATTGAGAGTCCATGATAAATATGCCTTAATATGAACTTGATATGGGCTCTGATTGAGTTTCTCCTTTTCTCTCTTTCGAGACCTTGAATTTAAACTTAAAAGATTGAAATGGGAATAAATACCCATACTTACCAGGTGTGAATGAGTGGCATGGCCACTGGAGATGAACTGGTTGGCTATGAAAGGCTGGACACTTCCCTTGGCTAATTCACTACAGTCCAGGGGCAGTTCACAAGCTTGCAGTCTCAAAAAACCTGCACCCTGACAGCATTCCAAGAATCAATCTGCCTTTTAGGATAGACTGACATTAACCAAACACAGGACCCAGATCTTTGTTTTCATTTAAATTCATATTTATGTAGACATTTACTCAACAAATATTTATTGAGCCCTATGATGTGCTAATCTCTGTTATGGGCAGTGAGAATGGAGCACTGAAATTTGTATTATGCCATTACAGAGTGCACACTTTAGTAAAGGAGTCTGACAAATAAATGAATATGTAATAAATGTTCTTGTGTCCTTCTTCTCCATGCAGGCCTTTTATATAGAAAGACAAATTACTGTCCAGAAGTTGGTTGGTGAGCCTGGTATCTGAGCAAGTGAGATTAGTGACCTGAAGTGATTCATGGCTAACTTAGTCTGAAGCATCCATCTGTACTTCTGAGCCATACCTTATCAGGTATGTCACTGGCTACGGCTGGGATGGGTACTGACAACTTCTGTTTTTAAATCGGGCTTAGGATATACTGGATGAGTGGCTCTAGCACTTCCTATCTAGATAATATCGGCAATCTGCCTTACTCTCTTTAAGTCTTTCTAAAGAGAGATAGTAATTCGCTCAAGGTCACATAGGCAGAAACTAGATACAGAGCTTTGACTGTTTCCTGCCTCTCCCTGCTGCCTCTGGTCAGGTTCGCCCTGGTTGAAAACAAACTGGGTGGTTGGCAATTAACCACAGATGATAACCAGTGTGGATAATCAATTTCTGTCCTTACTAATTAAGAATTAAGTTTCTGTCTTTACTAATAAGAGTGTTGCTTTTTACGGACTGAATTTTGAGCATATCTCTGTCTCTGAATACTGCTGCATCAGCTCATTACTGCTGGGGGACTCCCTCTGTCTGACTTGCTGACAACATAGGCATTTTCACAGGCACAATGGTCTTGCCAGACCCAAGGCTCAACACTCAGGGTCAACACTACGGGCTTTTTCTACTAAAGACTTTGAAACTCCCAACAGGCCATGAAAGACCACATCCTCAGATGCTTACAGAACACAAGACAGTATTTCCTCGGGCTAGAGGACAACCTAACAGAGCTCCAGAAATTACCATCTAATGAACTGGTTTATGATTTATTTGAACACATAACCAAGTATCGATGAAGTCATATTAAAAAATTCACCAGTCTGTTTTTACTTATTCATTTACACCTTTATTTTAGAGCATTGAAAGCGGCTCTCAAGTCAATAACAACTTACAAAAAGACACAGCATTTTTTTTCCTGTAAAAGCCATTTTTTATACATTGCATCACTTTCTCAGGCTAGCCTCAAAGGTTAGGAAAGGCTGGCTTTGCTCTCTCCATTTTGACTGGAACTTGCCACACCATCCACGAAGGGTTTTCACAGACATTACTTCCTTTGAACCTCTCCTATCCTGCATGATTGAAAGGGCTCAAGTCCTCCCATCAGTTTGGGGAAACATCCCACCAGAACAGCCGGTTCGGGTTAGGAGAGAGGCTAGAGGTCAGGGTTAGAGGCACCCGCATGACCCTCGGCTCAGGTGCCGCAGCGAGAACTTGCCCGGATCAGCCTTTGTGGCATTTGGTTAGGGGCATTCACCTTCCCGGCCAACCGACAGGGCCTGGAATAGGCAAAACATCAGATCCCGTCGGGTGTCAAGCAAGTTCTTTAAGCGACACCGTTAGGACGCCCTCAGGTCAAGAACTGAGCTGACTGTGCAGCTACGAGGCGCCGGGCATCGGGTCCTCGGGGAGCGGAGGATCTAGGGGTTCTTCCTGCCAAAGTCCTAAGAGAAAGCTCCGGGGACAAGAGGCGCGCGCCAGTGGGCTTTTTCCCGCCGCGATCGGGCTGGGGTTTCGCCGAGTGTCCGCTTGCCCCGGACGGCGAGCGAGCCAGCGGAGACCGCGACAACAGCAAGAAACCGGACTCGGTCCCAGCACCCACTCTAAGTCCTGCGAGTTTGCGACCTTCTACCCGCCCTCTCCACAGGCCCCGCCCCTTCCGCCGAACGCCCCCGAGAGACCGCCCCTTCCGCCGGCCGTTCTTTCCGAGGCCCCGCCCCTTCCGCCAGCCCCGCCCATTCCCGCACACGTGCGGGCCTCAATAACGCAGCTGCGGTGCGCCGGTGTCTTTTTGCCAGGCCTCCAGTGTGGATGCCCGCGCGCCCCCACCCTCTCGGTCATGGCTGTCCCTAAAAGGAAGGCCCCGGGCGGCCAAGACAGCACGGCTTCCCCCGCGGGTACAGCCAAGCGGGCCCGCACCGAAGAGCTCACGGGCGTGCGCTTCAAGGCTCAGCTGAGGGACCCGCAGGGTGCTGGACAGGGTGAGTGCAGGGCCGGCCCGGGGCGGGGACACGTGCGTGCGAGGCGGCCTCCGGGTCTGGGTTTGGGAGGGGTTTCCGTGTACCAGACACAGCCCCTCCTTTCGGTCAGCGAGGGTGAGCCTCACTTCCCGATTTGCAGACGAGACACAGAGGATCCGGTGATTGGGCGTCCGAGGTCCCGGGGTCGCTCCTGGACTGCGCGCAGCACTTCGTTGCGTTGGGCTGTCAGCGACACGAGAGAGCCCAGACGTGTTTGGTTGTGACAGTTCCATGCGACTACACCCTTTCTTTGCCTGGGCAGTGTCCCTCCGCAAAGTCTAAAACCTCTTTATTGCAATTGCGAGGAAAGTCAATAAGTGTACTACTTTTTTACACAACATATATTTATTGAGTCTCGACTGTGAGTCCGCTCGGGGCTGTTACGTGAGACAGCTTGATACTACTATGGCTGTCAGCACTGTTTCCAGTGGCATTGATCCTCCAACACTGACCTAACCTGATAACATGTAGTTAGCTACCATAAGAAACCACCATAAGGACTCGTTAGTTGACCAGGATTGGACTAGTGACTGACATGGAGCACATTCTATAATTTCACTTTTTGAAAAGCGTGACCACCCCTCACAATGCCTTATGATCCATTAGAAAGTAGGTTATAAAAAAAACACACACACACACACAATTGACTATGCAAATATGTGAAAACACTGGTACTGTGTCAGGGTACTGCGTCAAAATACAACCATGACAGTGTTTCTCCCAGGTTAAAGAAACAAAGTTAATGGCCAGGATATCCTCAATTTCCAGTTTGTCTCCGACAGATTTTGTTTTTAAATGTTTGATGCCTGCAACTGTTAGCCAGTGCTGGGAAGATGATACTTGCTTTAGCACAATTATACATTTCATTCATTCATTCATTCATTCATTTCTTTCATTATTTATTAGGGGCTGTTATTTGCTAGGGTAGAGATAAAATGGTGAGTAAAAGTTAGATATGGGCTCTGCCGTTGTGGAACTTAGAAATAGTTGGGTGGGGAGGACAGATGTCAATGAAATCTGAAGACTGCAGGTGCCATATCTAATCTGGGAGATCAAAGAAGCCTCTCTGCGGAAGTGGCTTTCCAGCATAGCTGTAGGATGGTGCAGGGACAGGGACAGGAACCTTTCTGGCAGAAGAAAGAGCACGTTTATTTAAAAGATTGCATCCATGTACTTATTCATGGTTTTGTTCAGAGCGCTTCATGATGTTCAGATGCTGCATTTGAACAGGTTTCCATCTGGGTTGGCAGGCTATGGGGAAGGTGAAGTAGTTGGAAAACATGGCAGTAGGTGAAAGTGTGAATCTCCTGTGAGGCTGTGTTGGATTTGTGTTTGAATCCAGTTTCTGTCTTGGATTCTCTCTTTTGATATTTTCTCATAACTTCCTCTGATAGGATTGCCTTACAGTGAAGTGGAATTGATCAACGTTAGGGCAGTTTGTTTTCATCCTGGCATTAGGGAAGATGTTTCCAGCTTTTTTGTGATGTTGACGTATAGCATATGTAAGTTTAAGGTAGACAATGTGGTGGTTAGATACATGTGTATATTGTGAAATGACCACAATAAGGTTAGTTAATACCACCATTCTAACATAATTACCACTTTTTTTGTGGCGATAACATTTAAGAACTAGTTTCTTAATAACTTTCAAGCATATAATACAGTACAGTTAATTATAGTCACCACACTGTACATTGGAGAACTGATGTACCCTCTGACCAATGTCTCGCCATTTCCCCCACCTCCCAGCCCCTGGCAGCCTCCAGTCCACTCTCTGTTTCTATCAGCTCAGCTTTTTAGATTCCACATAAGTGAGAACATATAGTATTTGTTTTTCCGTGTCTGACCATTTCACTTAATACCCTCAGGGGTCATACGTGTTGCAAAAGGTGAGAATTCTGTCTTTTTTTTAAGGCTGAATATTCCATCGTGTGTATATCTATATATAGATATACCACATTGTCTATATTCATTCTCTTGTTATATCCCCTTAATGTGGGGGTTGCAGAGAAAAGAGCCGATGGGTTAGATTGGCGAAGACCCACGGGAGTGGATCGGTATCAGCATCAGGGAGCATCCCTGGATCAAGAAAGGTTCTGCTCTAAACCAGTGCCTTTGAAAATGGTTGCCCGTGACTTCACTGGCGATGGAGAAAAGGCAGTATCGTAACTCTTGGTCTCCCTATCTTCACATTGCCATTGTATTTTCCGACTCAGTAGGTGGCAGTCCCAGTCACCTGGGTGTTCCTGCCAGACGTCTCCCTCTGCAGTAGCGGCTGTGATTGTTTCTAGGGAGACTGTCCTTATTAACGTTTGAACTTAACTCTATTTCAGCCTTGGAAGCGTTTGTCTCTGCTGCCAAGGAACTACCACGAGAAGACGTGCACGACGTTGTAGAAGGGTACATCAAGATTTCTGTTGAGTGTGCAGAGCTTTTCCAGCTCCTGAGTGGGGAGAAGCGACCTGAAAGTGAGGTATAGTTATTCCTCACTTGGCTCGATGAAGAGAAGAAATAGTTAATGCTACTATTATCGTTGAGCTCGACGAAGAGAAATGTGATATAAATTTCTAAGACATCACTATCTTTCTGCAGAAAACAGTGCTTTGGCCCTGTGTTGTAGGAATACGTTCATTTTTGCATCATGACCTTTGAAAGCATTTTAGCGGAAAGTGCTGACTTCTCATCGGTGAACAATACCAGAAGGAAGCATCGTAGATTCTGAATCTGCATGCACTGGGTTTTGGCATAGTTTGTTTTAACAAAAGGGAAATAGGTAAAAATTGTGTGTCACACACACATATAGACACATATTAAGTTGTCTGTTGTTTTCTGGTTCCAACGAGGTTCAAAATAGGGGATATTTAGGAACCTATTGAAATCTTGGGGTTATTGCTATAAGGCTAAATATTCCCAAAGAGATGAGGCCCAATCATAAAGAGACATTTTTCTTTTTATTTCATTTTGGATAGTGGTAAGCAAGCAATTCTAGACGATGGGAGCAAGACTAATGCCAGGGCCAGGGGCCTGGGAGGGCAACCCGCTAAGCTGCCACCTTCCTGCGTTTGGCTCATCCTGCAAGTTGAAGGTTTTAAACCTACAGGTGACCGTGGCTAAGACAAGAGGGGTAGATATATAGACGGGGAAAAGAAATGTGATGATTCATAAGCATTTCAATTCTGTCTTTGCAGACACTATTAATATTTCAAGTTTTTGAGGCCATATTATTGCGGACAGCAAGTGATCTTTCCCATTTTCATGTTGTGGGAACCAATATCGTGAAAAAGCTAGTGAATAACCACATGAAGCTCATCTGTGAGTCCCTGTATGCCTCGGGTTACAAGTAAGTTGCCCTCCTTTACATGGCAGGACTGGCCTTGGACTTGGTCTGTGTTCAGCTCTCCATGAGTGCTTCTGACCTTTCCTCCACTCATAGAGTAGAGCTGAGTGGTTTCTGTCACAGCGGCTCTGCACCTCCTTCCTCTGTTGACGGCCCCACGCTCTTGCTGACTCCTCCCACCACGAGTCCCCCTCACTCCTGCCCTGTTGCTCTCCTTGCTGTCCTGGGAACACTCCAGACGTCCTTGACATTGCTTGTTCTTCTGCCCCAGTGGCCTTTCTCCAAAGTCGTCACGGGCTCCCTCCCTGTCTGCCTTCTGGGAGACAGAAGTATCCTCCCAGGAAGGCCTTTTTTGACCATCCTATGTCCACTGTCACTTTGTCACCACTGTCACTTTCCCAGCAGCCGACACAGTGCCCAGTAAGTAGTGGGTGCTCAGTAAACCGCAGATTCTGGGGGGCTGCAGAATAGATAGGTGGCCATGGGCTCGCTTTTATTGATGCCCACCGCCGAGAAGTCCTCCGTGCCCTGCAAAGGTGGGGTGATGTGTGACTCTCCCACGTACGTGATCATTTACTGGGTGGGGAACTTACCATCTACTTTGTGGTTTGCATTGTGTATTCTTAGAGCCTTCTCAGACTTGGCTTTTTTGCTTCATTTGAAGTTTTTGCTGTGATTTTCTTTTTAAAGAGCATGTCTGCATGTGTCCTTCATTCCTTTTTCTGGTTTGGGGATAGCAAACCACAACCAGGTATGCAGGTGGCTTTGTGGTGAGGTGGCTTTGTGCTTCTGCTGTTCCTGATATGCCTAATTTCCCATTGTCCCTGTGCAGGATGGCTCGAGCCTGCCTGAACCTGATGGCTGCCATGGTGACCCAGGGTCCTGAGGCCGCCAGGGACGTCTGCAGCCATTTTGATTTGAATAAAAAGACCTTGTACACCCTGGCGACCAAGAGAGATTCAAAGGTGAGGAGCCCCGAGCATCTTCCATCTCCCATGTGTTTCTTTCCTCTTCAGAGGGTGTAACGGACTGTTTGTCCTCTTCTCCCTGGACTTGGTCTTCACATAGATGCAGTAGGAGGCCTTTATGGGGAGAAACGTGTGCCTCAGCAGCCCCTGGAGTTTGGGAGGAAGGATGGCCTCACTACTGGCCAGAGGTGGGGGCCTAGTCACCTGGCAGAGCCTGAATGACAAGGACACCTGAGGCCAGCTTCTCTGGGGGATCAGTGTCACAGTGCCTTCCTGGCCTGTGAGCATCTTCACTGAGTAAATAATCTCCACGTGCCTAAATGGCATGGACCCTGTGGGGTGTCCCAGTTTTCCTGTTCCCATTCTGTCTCCCTTGCAGAAAACCCTTGGACGTCATCAAAGAGGGCATTTATGGCTTTTTAATATCTTTCTCGTGTCTCCCAATTATAAGCTTTATAATGAGTAGGGTCTAGATTGTGCCAAAGAGAATGAAAGTGTGATTGGTTGTAAAAAAAAAAACATGGTTCTCTGGTGGCTCTAGAAATTTCACTTGGGTTCGGAAAGGTTCTCGGGGAGAAAGCGCAAGTTTGGGGACTCATAAGCTGGAGCGAGGGCATCCTCCCAGCGCATGTGCTGGCTGCAGGTCTTCTCCGTTTTGGCAGATCAGCTCTCCTTGCTGGTGCTCTGGGCCGTGAATCACCATGGCTCAGTTCTCCACCCCCATCCTGAGCCCAGAGAACAGACCAGTATCAAACCCTGTCTGCTGAAGTGGAGAACCACGTTAGAAAAACCGACTTCTGCGCCCATATGAGACCTGGTTCCCTAACTCTTCCGGGGAATTAAGAGTTTATGCAGTGCCGGGTAATGCAGACTGAAGGCTAATGATAGTAACACCGGAAACCTTTATGGCTCTGTGAGGCCGGCCCAGTGTGGAGGGCTTTCCTGGAATTGCAAATAAGGTGTTCTCTGAGGAACAGTGTCTCATAGATACTGTGCTTTATTAATGTGTCAAATTCTAATGGCTCTTGACGTTCAAATGCATTTCTAGTAAAAAGAATTTGTGTGTACTTTGCACACTAGGGCAAACATTATGGTTCTTTTGTTCTTCCTGGCAATTAGCTTGGCAATAATTATCTGTCAGATTCCCTTTCCCTTCTCACCCTATCTCCCTTCACTGCAGCCAGCCCAGCCATCTCAGTAAAATGTGGGCCAGTATCCAAGCCACCCATGGAGACACCCATGGGAAAGCCCAGCTGGGGCTTCCCTGCCTGATCTTACATCTCTCTGATCTGTAAAATGGGAGATATGGTCGAGACGAAAGTGTTTTTACTTTCTTTTGTGTCTCCTATATCAAGTATCTTAAATACTTTGTATGTTGTAGGAAATGTTTTCTGGACATTAAAAAAGATTTTTTTTTAATATAGGAAATGCCAGGGACATTCAAGAATAGACAGCAGCACAATGAGTCACCATAGACCTGTCATCCCACTTCAGGCACTGTCACCTCTCCCACCCGTTGGTTTGCTTTGGGGCAAACTATTACAGCAAATCCCACACTTGAATCATATTTCACCATAAATATTTCAGAGTGTATCTCTTACAGCAAATGACCTTTTAAAAAACAAAACCACAGTACCGTCATCGCACCTAACGCCACTACTAATTTCTCAGCCTCATCTAATGTCCACTTCAGTCTCATTTTCCCCCAGCCCCGTCAAACATGTCTTTACCCTTCGTGGTTCAAAGAAGGATCCAGGCAAGGGCCCCATACTGTGTTTGGTGCATAAGTTTCTTAAATCTCTTATCATCTTTGAATTTTCCCGCCCCTCCCCCACACAGTTTTTTCATGCCATTTAGTTATTGAAGAAGTTGGTAGGTACATATGTATTTTTAACGAGTGTGTTTTTAACATTTTGGAGGGAATTATTAAAGCCTTATAAAGAGAGAAGATTAGGATATTTTCATCCAGCCAAAGAAAGCATTGTTAAAAATCGTGTGCTGAAGAGCAGTTTGACCAAATATGTTTTGGTCTATTTTAGACAGCGTTTTGGAACAAGCCATAGAGTTCGGGACGCTTCCTTCCTGAGGTTCCAGCCCTGTGAAGTCACAGGGTAGGAATGAGGAGAGGCACGTGGCCCTCTTGCCTTTGGTGGAGTTTGCTGGGGAAGGGGGCGGGGGCACGGACGGAGGTCCGGGGGCAGGGAGGGACTGTCTGGTCAGGTGCGTGAGCGGGAGGCGTGGCGGTGGCTGCTTAGAGTGGCGCAGATGTCATTTCTTGGAGGTTTTATTGGGAATGAAACGGGGTTGTCTGGGATATATAAGATGAATGCCAGGTGGTGAGAACCAAATTCTATTTTAGTTCAAAGTTCATTGCTGGAGGGACCCACTGGAGGATCTAATCCAACTTTTCTATGTCCACGCAGGATAGAAAGATCTAGAATGGCAGATAACTGGGAGCAGCATTCCAGGGACCTGACTCCCAATACTTCAGTGGGGAAAAAATAAACAACTCAAAACTTGTAGAGCCTTTCCAACTAGCTGGGAAAGGATAAAACCTAAGTTAATTTTACCAGGCAAATTTTAGCATTCCGTCAGCATTCTTTTGAAACACAAGACATACGGAGACCAGGATTGACAAGCGAACTGTGCTTGAATTAGGTGACACGTTTCTTTGAGTGAGGAGGCATGCAGAGAGCGTGGTAGCGGTGGTTACTTTGAGCTTTCTGAGGACAGGGACAATACCCTAGTCATCTTTGCATCCTCTCTCAGCCCGAAATTGTGGCATCTTGAATGAAATTGGTGAGTGGAGGCACTGGAGCATCACTGACACTGTAAGGAAACGCAGCTCATTTTAAAGACTTTAGATGTCATTGTACCCAAACTCTGTACTGGAAAGAGGCCCACATATTAGTCCCCAGAGTGGAGAGGAGAGTTTGGCGCTCAGTGTATTTGGAATAAGCCAGCGCTGGTCTAATCAGGTCTTGCTGAAATGCTGTGTGGTGTCGATGGATACAGACTCCCTAAGTACTGTGAGTGTGCAGGGCCTCCACGTAGACATTGCAGAGCATGAGTCAGATGCAACATGTACCCAGCAAAACAAGACGGAAGTAGTTCCATGCTCACGCAGAAGCCCCGGTGGTGCCAGGTATGGTCCTTGCACCTTAAGAAGAGTGAAACGAAAATGCCATGGGAGCCCTGGAGAGAAGGAGCTTCCCTACAGTGAAACATAAAGTTGGGTGAGAAGCATGTGTTTGTACAGTTATTATTATCCCAGTTCTAGTGCTTGCTTAATAGTTATGTGACCTTGAGCCAGTCTTTTAAAGCCTCAGTTTCCTCATCAATAACATGGGTGTGGTAGGCATCTCTACCCTGGGTTGTTACAAGGAATAAGTAATTAATGACATGCGCATTTGACACAGTGTCTGGCACATGGTAAGTGGACACTCCGGATACCATCACCACTGCCCCCACTAAGTGGGGCGGAGCTCTCTGGAGGGCAGACGCCTCGGTCTTTTCAGGCATGCAGGGCAGTGATAATAACTTATTTCTGGGCAGCGAATTAAAGTACCTTTGGAATAATTGTGAAGTGGGAAAGTTTCGGTTCCTGCAGTGGAGGATCTAGGCGTTCGCGCTGGTTCTGGTACAGCCGATGGGAGACCTGTGTGAGCACGTGCCCTGGGTTCTTGGGATGTAAAACAGGGATGATGAGACACGGGTTTGTCTTAAAGTTACTGGGAGGGAAAACTAATCAGAGAGTCCTCGTGACGTCCCCTGAAGTGTTGGCTGCTGGTCATGGCCTTCGGGCCATCGTTGAAACTGCCCCCTGTCCTGGGTCATGGCGGACGCCTACAGGACAGTGCAAATTTCAGTCCTGGGAAAGCCACGCGGGATGTGTAACATGACAGCATCTGGGGCTTTAGTGTCTAGTGTAAATTTATAATATCTAATGAAAACCAGACATCACCTCACTGGCTTCTCATCAAAAGCAGCACCAGTCTTTGTCTCTGGATTTTCAAAAACACAGATGTAATATTTGATTGGTGAGTAAGAGTAGATGATAACTAGAAGGTGGAGAATCTTCTATACCAAAGTGGTCCATAAACTAAAAATGCTTGTGTTAACAGTCAGGGAAGGGGACACAACTATGTTTTAGCCACACTTTTTTATCTAGAAAGAGCTTGGAAGAGAATGAAAAGTAAAACAGAAGTAAGAGCAAGGGAAAAGCCTTGCGTTTCCATAAGGAGGTACCACTGGTTTTAGAGTTGAGCCTTCTGATAGCACGAGCCCAGAAGGCCTTTATGACACTGGGACCGGAGGGGCGTGTGTGGTGCTGTGTTCCTGCTTCCTGGGTGCGTGTGCATGCACATGTGACATGCGGTCTCTTCGTCCCCCAGGGAGTGCATGACGTCCGGCTGGCCTACATCCAGTTTGCTCTCTCCTTTTTGATTGCCGGTGATGACAGCACCATAGTGCAGGTGCTGGAGTTGAAAGGTAGGTGTGCCTCTGTCTCGGAGCAAAGCCTGTTTGTGGTCATTTGGGGAATTCTACCACAAAGCATTTCTTCCAGGTTAAAAAAGAGTATGCAGCCTTTGCCACTGCCGTGTACACGGGAATGAAGGGTGCATGGGTAGGTGGTGAGTGTCGGTCGCTGCGGTGTTGATACCGTGGTCAGTGTGAACAGAGGTGTTCCTGTTCTGCTATCGGGAATTCTGGGTGATGTCCCAGCAATGGGTAAATGCAAACAAAGGGCCTTTATGGCTCCAGAACATACACAGGTTCTTATCCCTGGCTACCTGGCTTTCCTTTGTCATTGTGTTAAAAGAAAAAAAATAAAGTGTAATTACTGTGGTGGCTTTGCCTAGTGTTACCAGAATATCAGTAATAGTACTTCAAGGAAGTCCAGCTGGACCACCTTCTGGTGGCTGTCTCCCAGCAGCAAAGCTGGGCGTAGTTTATTAGGGCCACATGCACGTTATTGGGAGACTCAGTAAGACAGTAAGTGACAGCACCTTGACTGGCACTTAGCACGTGGCAGTTGTTCAGTGTATTAGTAGTGATACATTATGAAGCTGTGGTGGCTGATTACCTGGGGATCTAAAAGTATGAAAAGAAAGCAAACAAACAAATCACCCCAGATTCTACTGTCAATCAATAAAATGACCATCCGTAAACTATGTCTGTGAGCAAGTCTAAACAAAGACATTTTGGAAAACCGTAATCATAACATATATTCTGTTTCAAATAGTCAATATTAAATTAATTTTACTTACGTTAACGTGAGAAATGGAAAATTAAACAACTAAAGAACTACTGAACCTTTTTAATAGATGTCACAGTTTTACAAAAGTGGTTGTTCCTACTGTGCACTTGTGTAATTAAAAAAGACAAAACCTTAAAAAAAAAGTAAATGGCATTGTTTGCTGTGCCATTTAATTAGTGACGTTCTCTCATTTCTTCTCACATTGAAAATGCTCTTGAGTTTAATGCTTTGAAACTTTTACTTTTCAGAATTTATTCCTTGCATTTTTAGCTCAGGCATAAAGGAAGATAGGATTTCTACCGTCAATATTTTGTTATCCACACTGAAGACAAAGGTACGTGTTTGATAATCAGCGTATCTGTTGCTCGTTTTCTCCGGAGTTCTTAACCAGGTGTTATTTAAAACATCTTAGGTTACATAGGTTGTTACATAGGGTGCATGGAAAACTGTTTCTTAAGCAGAGACTTGGTGGTGGTGATGAACAGTCCTGAAGATTAGAGTAGCTGAAGCAGCCGTGTGGTTTGAGGCAGGCCTGCTGTTTTATCACAGCGGGAGGAACGCTGCTGGTCGCCTTCCTCAGCCAGCTGTTGGAATAATCGTGAGCCCTAAGTGACTACTATTCTTCATTTACACACCTAACAAATGTTATTTCGTGTCATCTAGCATATTCTATCTTTTTCAATCATCTTATAGAAATTTTAAAACTTGCCTAAAGGCTCATTGTCTTTAATAGAGAAGCACCTTAAACGATCAATTAGAAAAACTCTGACTCTTCCAACATAAGAAGTTGTCAAAAGGCTGTGAACTGGCAGTCCACATAAAAATGGCTAATTATCATAGTACTTAAAATAGTGCTTCTCACCTAGGGGTGATTTTGTCCCTTGTGGGACATTTGGCAGTGTCTGGAGACATTTTTGGTTGTCAGAACTGGGGACATGCAGCTGGCATTCAGTGGATAGAGACCAGGAATGCTGCTCAGCATCCCACAGAGCTCACTCAGTCCCCCACCACAGTCGTCAGGCCCAGAATGTCAGTAGTGCTGAGGTGAGAAACCCTGATTTAGAGTAACGCAGGTGATGAGATACAGGGTTTTCGCCTACTGAGCCAGCACTGACTTTTTAAAACAATGATATTTAGTGCTAGCAAAGACAGAGTCAAGGCCTTCCCTGGAGGAAACGTTACAGCCCTCTGGAAGACAGCAGACCTGGCAGTGTGTGTCAGAGGTCTCGGAAATGTTTGTATACTTGGAGGTGGGAGTCGTGGGGCGTTGCCTCAGAATCACCTAGAAAACTTATATTTTAGTACATAAACCACAGAGATTCAGGGGTAGGTTTGGGTGGGGCTGAGAACCTGTGCCACAATCCCAAGTCGTAGTCAGGGGTACAGTGAGGACTTTACATAAGGATGCTAATTGCAGCCGGAGTTTACAAACAACCTAATTGTACACACACGGGGAATGGTTAAATTAAGCTATGATCACTCATAGGATAGAATGATAGCCCCCCCAAATAATGTTCTCAAGGAATTTTTAATGATGTGGGAAAAGCTCCTTGTTACATAAGTACAAGCAAGCACAAAACTATATATAAATAATCTCAAATATGCAAAAGTCCCCAACCAGTACATACACTTACTTGTGTATTGTGTGTGTGTGCGTCGGGGGGGAGGGGGACAAGGAATATCGTGAGATGCTAACTGTAGGTGTCCTAGGATAGTGGGAATATTAGTGAATTTGGTTTTTCTCTTCATAGTTTTATTTATTTATTTATTTTGGTCAAATATTTTGCCATAAATCTACATGAGTTTTAGAATGACGAAAAACAATAAACACCATTTTCAAAATTGAATTCCTTGAAATTTGTTTGTTTTATTGTTTCAGGTAGTTCACAATAAAAATATCACAAAAACCCAGAAGGTGCGTTTCTTTACCGGGCAGCTACTGAACCATATAGCATCTCTCTACAACTGGAAGGGGATTGTTGACGTGGAGCTGGACAGTGCCAAGGTACAGTCGCGCTTGCGTGTCCTGTGGCTGCACCTGTAGTGTGTGATCCTCACAGCCGGGAGACTAGAGTCTAAACACACGCCTGCCTTTAAACTTCCTCCATTTGATCTGTTTCTTTTGACCTATGGTTACATTAATTTTCCACTTAGATTCAATATGATTTAAAAAATGTTGTTTTTACCTTTTTTCCTTTTAGTCTCTGAGGTTTCGTGTTATTACACTTTTTTTTTTTTTTTAAATGAGAAACTGTTCCCTTTAGCCAAGTGGCATCTTAATTTTCCCTGCAGTGCTGGCCCAGTGGGATTGCAGGGCTGCTCCGGGCTCTCTCTTCTGCCTCTCATTTACCTCTTTTTCTTTCTTCCATTTTTTTTCAAATCTAGATTTTGGAGTTTTCAGGCTTGTTGCTTTTAATTCAGGGTCCTAAGCATTAGGGAACCCCAGTTCCCTCACCTACTGACAAGTATCATTAATTTTGTAGTTGTTACTAAAGTGCTCAATTAGAGAAGTTGGCTCACATTCACCCAAGGCCAGTGTACCTTTTAATTCTCCTCATTTTGAAATTCCTCGGGGTGTTTCTGAACATGGACTTGGCCAGAGTAGCGAAGGCTCAGACTTCCTGGTAACGTTATAATAATTACCTCTCAAGAGCCCACCATTTCACTTCCTTTTATCTTTGTGACTTGCCTATGCCCTCTTGTTTTGAACATGTTTCGTAGTCTATTACGAGGAAGCCTCAGGGCCTTAATAAAAACACTCCCAAATGTGGAATTTTTTTGAAAAGGGCCAGCGAAATTAAGTCATTCTTAAGCTTGTTTAAAAATGCAAATTTAAACTTGCCACTCTTAAGAGTATTTTTTAATTTCGATTGGTGTTTCTGTTTGTTTTTTTGAAATGATACCAATTGTTTAAAATGTTTTCTAAGTTGTCATCAGGCGCGTGATATTGTTTTTACTCTATAGCTGTTACTAGGGTTTATGAGCTTGGGATTTTCGTCTAATTTTTTAAAACCCTCATAGGCTTCTTCTGGAGACGCAGGGAAAGCCATGGTGAGGGAGCTTGTTCATAACTTCCTGATGGATCTCTGCTGTTCGCTCAAGCACGGGATTAATTTTTATGATGCATCTTTGGGTACCTTTGGCAGGTAACGTAACGCTCTTGTGATTCCTGGGTGTGTGTTTCTAAGAGGTCACCACATACATGACTGTCCAGTGGAAATCTATTAAATGAGGGAACTGTAGTAGGTTAGAACTGGAAATGTAGACATTATCTAACTCGTTGTAGGGATGAGCAGTTGGAGACCCAGGGAGCTTCTAGTCATTATATGTCTTCAGGGAAAAGGTCTCAGGGTGATAATCGACTTAGAGATGTGACATCTGTCATCCAGGAAGGTGCTGTGTGTATTTACTCAGAGGCTGGATCTGAGACTGAGTCTACATCTGCCTTCCCACAGAGGGCAGGCCCTGAAATGGGCCTCCCCACAGTCCTGAGGTGGTGCCACTGTTATTCCAGTTTTGCAGATGAGGGACATGGGCACAGAAAGGCCAGGTCACTCCCGGTGTGAGTGGCAGAGCTCAGATTTGATCCCAGGAAATCTGGTTCCAAGCCCAACCTCATAACAACTGACAGGCCCCCCTCTTCAAAAACAGCTACTAACCAGGTAGGGTTTCAAATTTTGTTAATACAATAATATTTCACATATAGTCCAAAGCTAATGGATTAGATTGTATTGTTATGTACTCTATAGTCATATAACTATAATACATATCTGTTATTATTTTTTAATAACCAAAGTGGTCTACTGTTAGATATATTGTTTGCCAACTTGCTTTTTTCTATTTAACAGTAAAAATATTGGACATATTTTTGGTCTTGTGAATGACTCTTATTTTTTACCCCCTTGGCATTTTATTATAAAGATATAGATGGTTTGATTTCGTTTTAACCAGTCAGGAACTAGCTGATTCGTTCATAATGGGATAACACAGTAGGAATTTTTCTCCCTGCTTGTGACTTTGGACTTGTTTTGATTCTGAGATTATTATGATTTAACTTGCTACGTCATTTCTACAACCCCCTTCCCTCCCTCGAGGTGAAGGGGGCACGTGCATGGCCTTTGCAGGCCTGGCTGCGTCATCATTTAGAATAAGCTCCTTTTCCTGCTAAAATGTAATAGCAGACTTTTATAGTGTCATATAATATAATATCACACTTAAATCACACACATTTTTTTCTCCTTAAGTAGATCCGTAAAATAGATGATCATTAAATGAGCATATTGAAGGAACTTATGGGTGTGGGTCTATTTAAATAAACTCTGGTTTACATAAATTTTTGAAGCCACGAGCAAAAGACAAATGTTTGTGCTTTGGACGGAGGAAGGAAGTTTTGTTTGTGAGGATGTTCATGGAAAGCTTAGAGAAATTTAAAAAAAATTTTTTTCATTATTTTTTTAATTGAAAAAATGATTTTATTTTTTTAAGCCTAGAGAAACCTGACATGCGTCGTTCCCTGATAGTCAGAAGGCTCACTCCCAGATTTCATTCAGGTCTGCTTTCCACTGCCACCGTCCTTCTGCCCGGCTCTTGCTTCTGACTGTGACTTATCACCACCTCGCATGTTTATTTACTTGCTTGTTTATTACCTGATAGGTGAGAATCAGGACACAGGCTGTTCTGTAGTGCCTGGCACACAGTAGGTATTCGATGAAAGTAAGGCCTTATAGGCAAGGGTTGGTGAACTTTTTCTCTGAAGGGCCAGGTAGTAAGTATTTGGGGCTTGGTGGGCCACACAGTCTCTATTGTGACCCCTCAGCTGTGCCCTTGTAGTACTTTAGCAGCCGTGGACATAAACCAATGTGGGTGACTGTTCCAATAAAGCTTTATTTATAGAGACAGGTGTTGGACTGACACCTGGAGTGGAGGTTAAGAGAACAGATTCTGAAGTCAGCTCTGAAAACTTGAGCAGGTTACCAATTTAACTTTTGGAAAAGTTTTATTACGTGTAAAGCTGTCACAGAGCATCACAGTTTGAGTGTATAAGGGGATACAAAACAGCGAGGGTCCTAGAAGCCAGCAACATGACCTGCAAATGAAGCGAATTCTCAGATTTTTCTGGATTTTATGACTTCACAGTGTCAAGCAGATATGAAAAGGCCTCTTTTCTTAAAAGGCATCCAGGGAGGAGAACCCAGAGTCCTGTGGTTTGGGGAGTGGATCCTGGGCTAGTCGCTTCCTTTCTGCAAGTTTTAATGTCCATAGGTTTTCTTGCCTTTAAATACAAACACACACACACGTTCTTATACTTCTGAAAACTGCTCACATTGGGACAAGTTTTGAATATTTTTATACAGATAGTTTTTCCTCCTATAAGCTTCTTTCAGCTGCTAAATGAAGACATAAGAATTTGAAATAAACTAGAAACAGAGGAAGAAGACCTGTGGAAAGACTTTGAGAAGTAATTTTATGGCACTAGGGACTGTGCGGGAATTCTTGAACATTTCATATAAAAAAAAAAGTCATCTTTTCAAAAGAAAGGTGGATTCTCTGTATATTTATGCACATGTATTTATTTACATACATACTTTTTCATGTGTGGTTGGAGGAAAAAGGTCAGTAAAGTCTCAAAATGAAATTTTGGGAGTGGATTCCTACCTGCTAATTTGGCCCTTTCATTACACTGGCCTGACTCTGGGCCAGCGGGTGAGTGACTGGGGGGCTGGAGAGGGTGGGTCTCTTCCTCTTCTTTACAAGTCAAGTGGAACTCAAGCGGGAGAAGGGGATTAGGGAACCAGACAAAGAAGAGACTTTTTAAACCACTCAGAAGTAGAGGAGTGAAATTCAAGCCCTTTGATGGCGAGCTGGAACCCCACAGGCCATGAAAACATCCTACTTTATGGCACCAAGGAAATTTACCAGAAATGAAATTTGCCCATCACCTGTGTTTACAGCCGTGTTTACTGGGGGGTGGTTCTGCTGTTCTGAGCTCTCTGTGTGATGTGACAGTTCCCTCTGACTGCTCTTCTCTCTTTCTCCGACAGAGGAGGAAACCTGACACTCCTGCACTTCCTGTTGGGTTTGAAAACTGCAGCAGATGACGAGCTGGTGGCCGAACTTGTGGTGAACATCCTCAAAGTGTGCCCGGACTTACTGAACAAGTATTTCAAGGAAGTGACGTTTTCCTTTCTCCCAAGAGTGAAGGCCACATGGTCAAATAATATCAAGCTGCTAAACAAGGTGAAAAGCCATGAGTCTCTAAAAGTCTGTGAGAAGGGGGTTGCGGGGAGGGAGTGTGAGGGTTGGCGGATGGCGGGCAGGGGACAGGCAGACTGTACAGTGTGAAGAACTTCTTTGAGCCATTCTTCAGGGGCTATTTTAGATCAGCTGTCCCTAACGTTTTTGGTACCAGGGACTCCTATGAGAATGTAATGCCCGGTGATCTGGGATGGAGCCGAGGTAGTGGCTGCAAATACAGGAGAAGCTTCGCTCACTCGCAGCTGCTCACCTGCTGTGTGGCCCCCGGTGCCTACCGCTGAAATACCTGGGATTGTGTTCTCGTGCCTCGACCTGGGCATGGCGTTATCTGTAAAACAAGCTTTTATTCTCATTCTCTTCATTTTCCTTGGGTGCTTACGTGTGCCGTCCCCACGTGTATCTTGGGCTGAGAAGGAGGCACTCTGCCCCTTGTTTTGGTGAAGGAGGCTCTGTGGCCAACACCCCTTTTGGGTGCTGCCCTGGTGCTGGTCCCCCCACCCACCCTGGGAAGGAGGTCGGGGCAGCGTGTGGCCTTTGCAGGCCCAGGTGTCAGCTCTTGCTTCCCTGCTCTCTAGCTGTGTCTCTAGGGATATTACTTAACCTCACTGAAGTCTAATTTTGTCATCTGTAAACACTTTTTTATTTTAATATAAAATATCCCTACACCAAAGGGTTGTCATGAGGCGCTGAAAAGATGACGCGTTTGCCAGGTGCCTCTAAGCGCTGTACCTGAGTAAGGTGACGGTTAGTTCTAGCAGTGACATTTGCCATCAGAGGTTTTAAGGGAGGCTCCCAGACCGTAGGCCGAGCTCTGCTTTGGAGGTCATTGCCCCGGTAACGACCAGTCTTGTGACCTGACTTGTCTCTAATAACTGGATTTGGGGGTTAACCTTCTGGACCCCGATCCTTGTGGCAAGCCTGGGACTTGTCTCAGGTTCGTCGTTCCCTTGGAGTGGCCTCACTGTTGGGTGCCTGCCTGTAGCCTCAGGTTTGGAATTTACCCTCCGGCACCAGCTCATTCTCTTTTTTCCTCCTCCTCATAGATCTACGAGGCCCAGCCGGACATTTCCCGGGCGTTTCAGACCCGAGAGTTCATCCCTCTGCCTCGGCTCCTGGCGATGGTGATGGTGACCACCGCGCCATTGGTGTGCAACAAGACTATGTTCACCCAAGCGTTGAACGTAAGTAAGCGGTTACCCGCTTCTAGAAGCTTTTCTGCTCACCCTGCCGGCGGTGCTAGGGGTTGTTCTGAGAACATGGTCCGACTGTATTGGATTGCAATTTGCCCATGAGCCTGCAGGGTTTTCCGCGTGTCCTGGTGCCAGGTGCATTCTTGCCAGGGGGCTGGGTGGCTGCACTGCTCCAACTCAGCTCCCTGGGCCTGTGTAAGGGTGGGGGTGTCGGGGTCACGGGAGGGGAAGCATGTTCAGTTACAGTCATCTATTAAAGTCTCAGTAGTTTAAGGTTTCTGGACAGGGTGGGACTGAAATTTGACTGGGAAGTCTCCCTTTTATAGTTCAAGTGTTAACGATTTCTGGGAAAGATCTACTTTGAAGACCAGCTGTTTCAGGCATTTTTGGAGGGTATGTTCCTGGAAAAAAAAATAATCATTAAATTATAAAAGGTCCCTAAGTCCCATCAGAGGCCATGTTCTGAGGGACGCATACATCTTTCACCATAGCATCATGACCTTAAGAGAACAGCTGTGAATTGTTGGCACGTGTGGGTCCTGGGCCCTGTCAGCCCCTCCTAAACCCAGGTTTCTTCAAGACCTACCTGGGGGAGGCCAGGTATTTGGAGGGGTGCAGGGCCTGGGGTTTCTGGAGCAGGTGGAGTCCCCATCCTGGGCAGACTGGGTTCTGTGAACACAGCAAGACCAGGGTCTGCAGTGGTGGGTCGCACAGGCCTGAGTGTAGTGGCCCCACTGGCGATAGGGCAGTTACTGTAAAGTGGCAGAGACTGCTTAGATAAAGCGTCTTTTGATACCCATCCAGGGCCTGTGCTCAGAGTGGGCAGTGGGGCTAGGAGTGGAGAGAAGGAGACTGTCTGGGACCACGCAGAAAAGTCTTTTGTTCTGGTTGCCAAATCATAATAACCACAATTAGGACCCAGCTAGCTTATCCATTTGTTTTGTGGGAGACACAAACTATTCTATCTCAGGGGGCTTGCAAGAAAGCAGAATGGAAAGGAACATGTCAGATCCCACCTGGGTCTGGGTGGAAGATGGTTCCATCTCACCGGCTGCTCTTCTGCTCTCCTTCACGCTGACTCCAGGCAGCCTGGGGTATAAAAAGCTGGGCTCCCTCCCCAGGGTGTGTTCCATCTCTGGACTGAGTGGCTGCAGGCAGGATAGAGGACACGGCTTTCTCTGCTGCCGGTTCTGCCGTCCTGTGCAGGGCCAGGGCCCGCGAGGGAAAAGCCACCGCCCTGCCTTCTCCTCACTGGGCCCTCTCCGAGCCGTGACCTTGTCAATATGAGACCAGTGACGTGGGACTATCTGGGGACTGCGGTTATGAGGGTGTAGGGTTTGAGTTTGTCTTTTTTTTTTTTTTTTTTTACATTTTTAATTCTTTACGATATTACCTAAAAAACTTAAAAGCGTACATTTTAGAATCAGAGAAAAACAAGTTAGCTTATTTTAGAGACAGGAAATAAGGTGTTTGAGACTGTCTCAGGCTTTGGTCGGGCTTTGTGCTCCACGCTGTCGGGTGCACGTGTGAATGCTTGCGCGGGCCCCGCCTCGGACGTGACTGCGGGTGGGAGTCATTACTGGTTTAGGGTGTTTCATGTAGGGCTGCTTCGGTGTACAACGCATGTGTAAAATGAGACCCCGCTCGCGGGAGTGCTGAGGGGTGGCGTGTCCTGGCTACTAAACTAAGAGTCCATCAGAACACCTTTCTGTTTCTACTTGACTGAATCCGAATATCCCAGCCGCTGCTTTTGGACTTGACTATCCTCAGGAGTCGACCGGGGCCGATGCAGTTGGCTGGGCTGGGACCTGAGATCGTGCGTGTCTCCCCAGTGCCCAGGAGGTGGCCTTGCTGCTGCTGGCCCAGGAATGTGCGTCACCTAGCTGAGGCCCGTCTTGCCCTCTTTGGCCTTAGCACAGGTTCTGGAATTAATCCATATGAGCTGAGTGGTTATCAGAGAAGACTAACCAAAAACAGACAGTGAAACAAAAATAAAAAATAAGTCAGACTCTTTCTTTAGTAAGTGCATGGCAACAGCGGAAGAGGTGACCTTGGGTGCACAGAGTGCATGCGAAGAGAAGGGGTTGGGGTGCTTCTGGGCCCTAAGTCTCATCAGGAGCTGTTGAGGCCCTTCCCGCCCCCACCTCTGCACATGCACCCTGGACTAGGGGTAACTGGGAAGCCCTCTTGCGCCCTCCTCCCGCGGCTTATTGTGGTAGGTTGGGAAGACCAGTCATCTGCAGACAGGCCAGGTACCCTGAAAGAGCTACGGTCACACTGGGCAGGTCCCCCAGACCGTCGTAAGGAGCTGTTTCTTTGTTCCTAGCACCTTGCTCAGGTGAATGAGTCTTAAGGGGTTTGTTTTAATTATCAGCACTTGTTTTTATACCAAATCCTTATTGTGTCCAGTTCTAGGAATTAACACCCAAAGCAGAGCTCCCAGCAATGTGGCCTGTCCCCCCTCCGCGGCCCCTCTTTCTAAGCACTCGCACACTGTCCCGTGCTCACACACACACTCACGTGCTCACACGCACTCTCCTTTGCTCACGCACTCGCACACTCACGTGCTCGCACACACTCACGCTCACACATTTGCACTCACTCTCCCGTGCTCGCACACTCACCCGCTCACACTCAGTCACGTGCTCGCACACTCGCTCTCACACACACTCATACACACGTGCTCACACCTCCCTCTGCTTTATGCTTCTTGTTAGTGGCTTCAGTTCATTTGTTTCTCTTCTTTGTTTAACGTGACTCGTTTTCTGTTTTCCCTCCTAGATTCTACCTGACCTGAACACCGTAGTGTGGGTCTGGCAGTCACTTAGAAAACAAGAGACGAAACAGGACGATGAGAAAGGAAAGAAAAGGGGCAACCGGAGTCCCGCGGCCTGCGTGGCCCCCCACTGCGGTGAGGCTCCGGGCGGCATCTGCTGTTTGCACACAGAGCTGCAGGGGGCGGGCTGTTAAGGCCTCTCTGGTTGGGAATGAGCCCTTTGCTTAGAAGAGGAGACTTGGAATGGAGTCGTAGAGTGAATTCTAACATGTGTGAGAAATGCACCCAGGCTTTGCACATGCGCTCTCACTAGAGCCTGGAGTGACTGCCAGGTGCTCGGCCTTTCACTGGGGTCCTCGAGTGACTGCCAGGCGCTCGGCCTTTCAGTGGGGTCCCCTCGTCGTGCAGACGGAGGCAGGCAGCACAGCCCCCTGGTGAGAAGAGCCCTTGACTCAGACCTGTCATTAAGCAGGCAGTGGGCTTTGTATCTTGTATCTATGTCCTTATGGTGGCCTTTCAGGGGTGGGCATCACAGTGTGTCCCCATCACTGCGTTGTTCAGGGGAAGACATTGCAGCACAGAGAAACAGTAGCTTTAACCTGACCAAGGTTACAGCAGTGAAATGTGGATGGATTTAAACCCAGGCTGTTTGAACAGTTGTGATGTTTTTACCACGTTGGTCCTTAGTTTGGTTCCACGGGGTCTGTCTGCAGCCTCTGCTCGGTGAGCAGTTACTGCGCTGGGCCACAGGAAGCTCCACTGCTTACCAGTTGCTGATGGAGGACAAAGGACAGTGTGTTTCCTAATTCAGGCTGTTTTATTTGGCTCAGATGATGCAGAAACCATTCTTCTGAAAGCCGCCCTTCTCCAGGTCATCTGCCTCTACCAGAAGGTGGTCCCGCACGTGGTCACACAATACAACTTTGACTTCAGCAAGCTCCTGAAAGGTGCGTCTCAAGGGATGTGGGCACCCCGCCCTCCCACCCCCTTCTCCTGCCTCCGCTGTGTCTGCCAAGGGGATAAAGGAAGCGGGGAGCCTGGGGCTGAGCCCTCGCAGCCGAGGACCAGGAAGGCTGGTGAGCAGTTCGGCCAGCACACATGATCCACCAGCGTGCTTTTTTTGATTTGGACCAGTATTTTTTTAAATAGTCTTTTTTAAGTAAATATTCGCCAAACACTTAGCAGCAGTGAGAGAGGAGAAGGGAGAAGCCAGCCAGCTTGAGTTGCCTGCCATGGACTATTGACAGATCAGATCATGTGATGATCACTCTGAGGCCTCTTTTCAGAAGGGCGCAGAAGGCTGCAGAAACGGGAACCCCTTAGGAGGGTGCCACGTTCATGCAGAGACACTTCTGACAGCTACTTGTATTTTGCCCAGCGAGTCAGGCTCAAACCATGTCTTGTAAATGTAAGATGCTTGTTCAGTCACGTTTTCCTTGATGGAAAGTATGTCTAATAAAATTGACTTTATAATTGGGCCTACAGAAGCAGACTTGTAGAAATATCATTCTTGGGATTTATATAAGCTATTGAAATAGTTCTATTTAAAGCTGCAGTTAACTTTTCAGTTGTTTAAGGTGAAAGGTACTCTTTGCTGTGAGAATAGGAAATTTACTAGAACGTGGTCATTTAGTATTTAGTAGTTGTGTCCTTCCCAAGGGAAGAGAAACCGAGAAATCGGGCCAGAGGGTAAGGACCCAGTCTTGGGAGGCCGCAGTCTGCTCGCAAAATGCTTGTAGTCTGGGGAGCAGGACGTGTGCCTGATACCAGGGGTGACATTAATGGGAGACCGCACCTGGAGGGCAGCATGGGGCGCAGGGCATCCAGCTGTAGGAAGAGGTCATTGTGGGCCGAGTGGCTGCTTTGGGCAAGTGGAGTTTGGGCTTCTTCTTAAAGAGTCTGGGTAGAACTCAGAGGAGAAGTTATGTCAGGTGAGCTGTGTGTGGGCAGAGGAGTGGGCACAGCCTGTGCGAGGGTGACCATTGGAACAGGGGGATGGAAACCTGCATCCTTCTAGACATGGAGACCCTTGTCTGGCCCCTTTGACCAAGAGCAGCAGTGGCTGGGCGCCTGCCTCCTCACCACTGTCGCTTCCTCTTTCTGCCCCCAGGCGTCATCTCAGAGCAGGGCCTTCGAGAGGAGGTGCCTCCCATCCTGCAGCACCACATTCTGAAGGTGGCCCTGGAACTGCCTGCCAGCAAGTTCTTGTGGTTAAAGGCACAGGTACGATGCTGCGAGCTCCCGCCCTCTGTCCCTAGCGAGCCTGTGGGTTTGCTGGCTTTCTGCCCCGGGAACTTCTAACTGAAAAAGCAGGACCCTGACAGGGTTGGGGGCACGAAGGAAGATGTTAAGGTTCTCCTCTTAGAGACCCATCTAGAGCAGAGGCGAGGTCCTGATTCATGAACCAGGAGGCCTGTAAATCTCTTTACTTTTGCAAAATAAGGTGCTTAACATGTCCTTACTGAGAATATATCGTTGCTGGGTACTGGGAGTTTTTGTATTTTTTTATCTTGACTATTTTACATTTTTCTTGTCATTTTAAGACCTTTTGGAAAATAAAATATGTTTCTTCTCCTTTGTACTCTTCCTGGAAGAACTTAAGACAGACATAGGACTAGATACCAAGGTTGAGGCTGGTAGAAAATCAGTAAAGATTGCTGGCATTTTTTCCATGTCTTTAATAATGCTTTCTAGGAACTTTCTGGAGAACGTAATGTTGAATCATAAAGGGAACTCAGGATGCATCAGATACTGATCTGTGTATTTAAAAAAGGTGCCGTGTCACTTCTATCTAAAGAGAATAGAGACCAGGCAAAATGAAGCAGTCCCTGAGTGTGCTTCTCAGTAGCTCAGATGACCTTTTTTTTTTTTTTTAATGACTTAGATCTTATTTAAGATCTTATGGAACCAATAGCATGGGAATTGTGTTGGCATCTTGGCATGCGATATTTCCAGAAAGGTGTAAGAATGCGAGGCACTGGGATCGTTGTATTTTTTCCCTGAGTCCTCTGAGGTTCACCTGCATCCTAGCTGAGGACAGTTCTGACGGAGAATTTACCATGTGCCAGGCTGGACACGAGTGCTCTGTGTCGGCTCACCTACCACTCTTTAAAGGCAGGGCAGCTGGAGCGCAGAGTGGGTTAGGAAACTGCAGGGCCCCATCCAAACGTGGAGGATCCAAGATTGGTTGCAGGCGGCTGCCCAGAGATCAGCTCTCAACTTTGATATCCACCATGCGGTCACTGCCACAGGGATGACAAGACAGGGGCGTTATTTCGTTTTTTATTCCAGCTGAACAGGGCCAATGGGGTCTTGAAGATTTAGTTGGAAAGTGAACAGAAGCTTCTTTGAAAGAACTGGTATTAAAATGTTAATTTATATCCCGTGCCCCGCCTTTTGCTTGTAAGATGTCCGCTGGGCTTCAGGGGTAGCAGTGCTTGCCATGTCCAGGTTGTCCGCATTGCCACGGGGCTGTGGGTCACTCCCATGAGGCAGACCCAGTGGTGTTTGGGCTGGGAAGCTGGCGCTCTGTACACTTCTCTGAGACGTGTTCACAGCCCAGCATCCTTTGCATGAGGCTTGTTAG